CTCAATATATCTGAAAACAATGTTGTTTATAATGCTGTCTCTCTGAGAAATGTTGACATGGGATGACTGTTCCAGAAAGGGCTAAATCCCAATGTCTGCATCTTCTGTTCCACACACAGCCACGTTTTTGTGCAATTCATCTAATACAGCTTTCAACATTTTGGTGGGTTGAAGAGGCTGGTGCCCCAGAGTCTTAGTACAGCTGAAGAATTCTGTTCATTTTGATCTTACACTCTGCTTTCATTCTGAAGATCTCCAGCTGAGATGTTTTACAAGACCACAAATTTTGTGTGACAAGCATTGTTTCCTTCTGAGTCAGTTTTGAACTCTCAGGTATGTAAGAGTATGCTTATTTCAAGAACTTGCAGGTTCATAAAGGTGGCTGTGACTATCATGGAGGAGAAAGCATAGGAAGTACCGAAGGGGTTCTATGAGAAGGCAATCCCTATTCAAGAAGGGGTAAACTCCCAGTAGATACAAAGGAAAGGTTTAGTTTTAGTATACTTTTTGCTTAGTGATTGTTTGTTTTGGAAAATTTGTGGTTTTAAAACTTTTATTGCAGAGTATTAATTGTGCTAATAAAGGCAGAGCTTTGAGGTGCAGTAGCACAGAACAGTATCAAAAGAGTAATACTGAAAATAGCTTAAGTCAGTAAAAGAATAAAAAAAAAATTAGATGTTCTCTCCTTAATAAGATGTATGGAAGATAGTCTGAAGAAGATTTGAGAATGCGCAAGTATCCTTTGTGGGACCACAGTGTCAAAGGTGTCTGTTATTAGGGAGGGAAAACATAAACAGTTATGTAGGTAATGACACAATTAATTTGGTATTAATTATTAAGCTGTAATAAAAATTGAATACTACAACCATTAAATCTTGCTTTTTTCATAAATCAGTATTAAATTCAAATTCAGCTTTTGAGATTTACTGAGGGACCTACTTGGGGAAAAACAACTGGCCACAGAGAAGCAGCTCACAATGTTGTCTAATTCCTGTGGGTATTTATCTGAATTGATCTAGCTTGCTTCCAGGCGGTTCTGACAGCTGCTTCCACTCCTAAAGGGATTTGTGTCCTCTGTGATTGGTGAGTTAAGGTGTGGCAAGAAAATTGGATACATAACCTGCAGAATAATAATTATACATAGTACATTATACCTATCAGAGCATTAATTATCATATGAACACACTGAAGAATCAGATTTTTCTCTTAAAAAGATGAAAATACTCAGAAAAATGCCGAGAAAGTTGATTCAGCCATTTGTAAAGAGCAAAGAATCATATTTCACACTGTTACAGAACCATGTGTTGTGTTTTCTGATTAGTGTAGCTTTTGCGGTTATCAACCAAAAATTTGTCACTAAAACTCCTTGCTTTTGTATTTTGTATTTAATACAGCTTTCCTACTCCTTTTGACCCCTGTAAATGTAGCTGTGGCTAGGTGCTGTGGAGAGTTAAGATTGTCCCTGTTGTGGTTACTGCTTTTTCACAGCCATTTCCTAAAGGACATTTTAATTGTTGTTGTGTTTCAGCTAGAATCTGCATGAGCACCTACAGTATCTTTCTGGTAGTGTGTTTGGCCGTGGAGGGTTTTAGATCTTGAAAGCCTCTTCCTGCTCACTTGCTACGTATAGTTGAATAAATGAGTGTGCTGTGAATTCCCCAATTACTTGTTCTACAGGGCACAGGGGAAATTCCCTGAAAATGGTAAATTGCCTGAGGCTGGTTAATGGGGGGGTGTGGGGTGTGTGCGGGGCGAGGGGGCGGTGGTGCGTGGTGCAGAGGAGAAGGGTTAGTTGTTGGTTTGTGGGTTGATTCCTGTTTGAATTGAAACAGACTTTGGGGGGGGGAACCAAAATGGAAGGAATAGTCCTGCTTTAAGAAATACCCAGTGGTGAGGGTACCACAATCATCGCTCAGTTATTACCTTCACTGTTAAAAATCGAAGTTTAACATATTTTCCAAATTTGTTTTATCTTTGCCCTCTGGCATTTTTGGCTGATAGATGTCTGCTCTTTGTTGATCTTTATGAAATACATAAAAATCCTGCATCACTGCATTTGAAGCATTCTACTTGTATCTTCACCTTCAGAAAGATTGCAGCATGGACAATACTCTAACTGTTGTATGCTGAGCCTGGAAAAGGAGTCTGTGGAAAGAGGGCCATTGTTTCTGTGGCCAGTAATCCCTGCCCTACATAACAAATGTAATGCTGAATAGCAAACTGAGTTCAGCTACCCGTGCATGGCAAGAGAAAATCTCAAACCACAACACAGAAGTCATGATCATTGTGAATGTTCAGTCTGGGACACTAACACAGCTCAGGGCACTTGCAGAGTCAACTTACTTTGTCTGTTGTTTCACAATAGTTAGCAATGAATAAAAATTAAGCAATTGGTTTGACACTGTCTGGAGAGGTTTTCTAGAATTCCTGCTAGAGAAGGAAAAAAATAACTAAAAATGAAAAGCATTACTTGGTTTTACTCTGTGCTTTACAGTGAGGGAGGAAGGAATTGGGGGGGGCAGGGAGAATTACTCATTTTTCTCTATCTGTGTAGTACAAAATGGGTTTGGTTTATTCCTTATTTTTTATAAATGTGAGATAAGTGTAATTGACAATGAGGTTTAGGTTTTGGCTTTTCTCCAATAAAAATAGTTTTGTCTTTATGTTGTTGCTTCTGTCCTTACCTCGTAGCAGGATGAAGAGAGTAGTTGTTCTGCAGGAAAGGATCTGGGGTTATGTTGGACAAAAGGTAAATCAATGATGTACTATTGCAAAAAACCTCTGTCATCACTGCAGGGTGTGTAAGGATGAGTATAGCCTGTAAAGCACAAGAAATAATCCTTATGCTATAGTCAGCATTTGCAAGGCCTTGGTTGTGCCCAGGTTAGGATTCTGCATTTGAGGAAAAATCTGGACCAGTTTGAGGTGAACCAAATGGAAGTACTGAAAATGATCAGAGGCCTAGGAAACTGGTTGTAGTCAAGGACTGGAGGAAGTGGGGTTAATATATCATGCAGTAAAGGAGGAAAAGACTTAAAGCATAATTATAGGGTTTAAAGGTGTAAAAGCCTGCTGTGTAATAGTCTGTTCTCAAAAGCTATGAAAGGCAAGGAGCAATGGTTTTCAACTGTGGGGTGGACATAAGGAGGACACTGACGGTAAAGATAAACATTGGAATAGTGGGATGAAGCTGTGGGATCTTTAGGAACAGACCAAAGAAATATCTGTCATGAGCTGCACAGTGATGTCTGTCCTGAGGCATGTAAGTTGTATGAGGGTCTTAAAACCAGTTTGAATCCTAATTTACAACTTTGATACAAATTTTATTGTTTAGCATAAATGATATCAAGTTATACATTTGGATCAGCTACATCTTTTGGTCCTAAATGGCTGTGGTAAGCAATGAATGAAATTTCTTATTGATAGACAATAGTCCTACTTCTACCCTACATCTTGTGTCTGCCTTGGTGTTCTTTACCTAGGTTTGTGTATGGAAAGCAGAACACTCAGGATCTCAATCTCTTTGTGCCACTGTTAACTAATTGCATCTCTAGGGATTTACTTTGCCTGTTTACCTCCATTTGGATGCTCTAAGTGGGTCTATGTGACTTTGTGTTTGAATGAGTCTTCTGTATCACCTTCTGTATGTGAGTTAGAGGTTGGCCTTTCCAGTATTTTGCTGTTGATGCTGTTGATTCATTATTCCCCCGGCTGAGGGGCTGGCCAAGAAGACAGGAAACTACTGACCGGATCAGCAAGAGCAAATCTGGCTCAGTGTAAGCTATTAAGTGACTAGAACCTACTGACCCATTTAGTGTCTGCTTGGTTCCCATGGCGGGCTTTTCCATCTTCAAATGAAGGTCATTTGAGGAGCATGCAATTACAGTGGCAGGATTAAATCCGCACCTTTCTATCATTTTTTCAGTACTGTTGGAAAAAGCCACGCAAGCAATGCCTTGATTTTATAGCTTGGAAGTTTTTCTGTGCACTGGCAGTGACTGAAATACTCCTTTAAACTTAGATCCTACAGAATGTTCTTTACACAGTGAGTGTTGTTACTCATGGTATATTAACAATTTTGATTTTGTTTTTCATGTTCTCTGTGATGCATTTTCTGAAACACTTTTACTTGCTGTTCAGAATGCTAACTGAGCCACATAATTGTCACAAGTACAACAGCTATGCAATTGCTGTAGAAGGATTGTAGTAGTTTTGAAATGTCACCAGCATGCTAAATCAGTGTTCCTTTTCACTGGGTGTTAGGAAACTAAAAAAAAAAAAAAAATCCAGTGATTGGAAGAGTAGGATGCTTTTTCTATAATTATACTTTTGCCATAAAAACATTTCAGTTTTAATTCAAATGTTTATTTTAGTCTGCTTAGTAAACAGAAATACTTCATGTTCTATTTTAAATGTTTTGGGGTTTTTTAGAAGACAACATGGCCCTATGCACTTAGTTCATAAGCACAAATTGAAATGCCTGGATGTAGTCACTGCTTTTCTCATATTTAAAAATGCTTCAGATGCATGCAGGATAAAATGCTCTTACTAGAGTTTGAACTGCATTTTTTAACACACAACCCTAAATTGTAGATTTCACCTACTGAAAGCAATGAAATTTCTGTATGGTTGTTTGGTTTTTTTGAATCAGAAGTCTGTTTCATAGTATCTTTCTTGTGACAGCTGTAGCTTGGAGTCCACTGTGAAAGCAGTAATTTGTCTTTTCTTTCAGGGAACTGGAAAACTTGAAATACTGATATTTCTAGGAAATCTGTAATACCAAATGTATTGTGAGAAGTGAGGAGGATGTTTGTTTCTGTACTTGTTCCCTTTGCAGGCTGTTGTAAAAAAAAATATTATGAGCTGAATGAGTCTCATGCAGTTGAGACCATATCAATTGATAGCAGTTGACAGTATTTATTATCAAATTGCTAAAAATATTTCCTGTCCTTTGTGTCCCTGGGATAAGATATGATATTCTGATGCGTGTCTTTTCACAGGACCTGTTGTTCAGTGTGTGCGCTCTCAATATCATCTCCACCATTGTCTGTGCTTTGGCGACAGCAATGTGTTGCATGCAGATGGTTTCTTCTGATCTTCTGCAAGTGGTGAGTATGTTTCAGTGACAACACGGGATATTGTCCAACATAACATATTGTCCTTATCTGTGTATACTCATTTGTACTTACTCTTTGCTTATAAACTTAAGCCTATTTGTGTGTCTTTGTGTAGTATTAGAATATGTGTGTACATGGGTGTATTTTTTTATCTGCATGAATCTATAGAAATAGAGCATGCAGATGTATGCAGTATGAATAGCTGCTGTGTTCAGAATATTTACATATTATGTTAGAGAGTTATATATGATTTTGTAATTGGGAGTATGTTATTTTTGTTAACGAGATTATTAACGAGGTTCAGTTATATATGCACGTTAAATTTTCTGTCATTACATGTTTATTATCCTCAGTTTCCACACTATCCAGAGCAATAACTTAGCTTTGAAATACTATTTTTCACTACTTTCCTTGTATGAGAACTATGGAGTATGAGAACCTGGAGTTCAAAACCGGAACTTTTCACAGCCCTGTGCCAGTAACGGTGTTTTCATAAGGAAAACATGCTCAGCTTGTGTTTAAAACAAGACAGAAAAGGATCGTTAGTCTTGTGCATAGCCAGCTGCATTACACGATACTGTCTTGCTTTGGTTGGACAAAGACAGCTTTCCTATCCCAAATGAGCACCGTGATTCTCAAGGTTTCAATGTAATGTTGAAACAAAAAAAATATTTTTGAACCTTTGTGTTTTTCAGGCGAGGTATACTGTTTCTAACCCAGCTCTGTTACTGGCTAATCTAGGAAGTCATGCTCTGTTTGGTAAGAAAGGGCCAGGGCACAGACCTAATACCAGTCATTTGTAAGTCTCTCATCCTTTATAAGTTCGCATAGATATAATGCTGACCCAGCAAGTTATCTGCAAAGCATTTACACAGTAGAGAAGTGTTGTGTAACCTGCCTTACAGACATGTGGCTGATTTAAAAATAAATAGAAGTAAAAATTTATTTAAGTGCATGAATTACAGAGATAAGGCTGTCCTTTCTAGACAAGTGTTCCAGTCACTGGGTTACACACTTAAGGAATATCTTCAGTCTATGATCTGCTGTTTATGTTGCATAGTAGCTAATTAGTAATCACTAATAAATTAACTAATTAGTAGTAACTAAAAAGGCCTATATGTCTACTAATGCCTACAAATTGTACATAAATGCATTTTTTCATATAGCGCTCTATTCATATTGTGGATGCTTGTAGAGGCTTGTAAACAGTGCTTATTTAATAACTTTTTTGGATGTAAAACAGAATTAACAAAAATAACCATTTCAGCTGATGACACATATCTTAAACATTAAAAGATTTTTATCATATTGTAGGTATTCTTTCTTTCCATACATCCCCCCCAGCCATGATATTTGCTACAGGAATGTCCGTTGACTAAAGACCTTTTTCACCTTGCAGTGATGACAGGGAGATGAAGTGATCATCACACCTGGAAAGATCTGTCTGTCTAGTGTAACAATGGTAGCAGTGATACAGAATTGTAACCATATGTATTCCAGGAATCTTAACCTACACTTAATTTTATAGTATTTAGCAATGTAAGAGGAGTAAAAATGTATAGATGACAGTGAACCAGGAACAATATTAAAGTGCTTCTGACAGGCATGTGCAAGAAGTCAGGTACCTTAAAAGCACATAATTTTTCTCTCTGCCACTTCATTCTTCACTTCTTCCCTAAAAGTCTTTCCTTACCACCTAGTGGTGGGGCCATTATGTAAATTTCTTTTGGCTTCCCATGCTTTGTGCTTCCACCTTTATGTCTCCCTGCTTAGCTGTCTGTTCTCCCACCCTTTCAGCTCCATTGACAAGAACTTTCTTCCTTCTCCACAGAAGGGAATTCTATCTTTCTTTCTGCTGGACCCCAGTATTTTCTTGTTTATCCTTAAGTTTTTCCCTTTCTTTTTTCAGGTTGCTGAGCCAGATTCCTACCAGGCCTAAGTGAGCGTAACTTCTCTGGGGCTACGCTGACTTAGACCAGCTGAACTCTGACCTGAAGATTTCTTTTTCTTCTACTATTTTCAGTCTATTGTCCCATGTTCTGCAGTTCCCTTTTGTTAACCTGCACCCAGAAATCTGATTTACTTCCTTTTTCTTACTTGTTAATGCTTGATTTGTGCTTTTTCCTTTTACTTTTCGTTGAGGTATGCATCTTCGCTTAGCAGGGTTGTACCATGCTGGAAGTCTAAGATAGCATCAGCAAGAAATACTGCCCCTTTTAGAGGAAAAGGTTTTAATCATTGTGCTGATTCTTTTATTCTCTTCTTACAGTATTCAAGAGCTTCATAGGCTCTCCTGTAGGAAAAGGAGGCCTAAAAATACAATTCCTAGCTAGCAAAACCATTATGCAATAGGGAGCATCCTCCTTGACATCATTAGGTTATAATTAGCTCAGCAGTTTTGTGATTCATGTGCTGTGTTAGTCTTCTTGTCTCAGAAGTTAATCAGTTAGAAAGGTGAATTTTTGAAAATTTCAGATAATTTCAAGTTTTCTTCTGGCATGAAGCTGTTCTGTGTGCTTCAGGTATTTATTGCCTAGCAACGTAGAGCTGGTATATAATATGTTCTCAAGAAAATCTGCAGTGATGTCCCATGAGTATCTGCTTTCTTGCTAACTTTTGCATACAGCGAGTATCCTATTCATACAACCAAACTGACAGTATTCTATTGGAAACTGCTGCCTTCTGATGCACCAATCTTTTAGTAAAAATGCCCTGAAAAATAAAAACACAAGCTGTTCAGTAGTAAGCACAGATTAAATTTTCCAATGAATTTGAAAGGGGATTTTTGGTTAATAATAATCCTACCAAACAAACATTTGGTTTCAAGCATTAAGGAAAAAAAAATACTGCAAAATATTGCAAAATTTTTATTGCATTATACTTTAGTTTTTACTTTTGTACTGTCATGTGGGACACAAAAACATATTTTCCTAGGTTATTACTTCTTTGAGTTGACTGTTTCAGGAAGTACCCCAAATTTTTCACCTCACTTTAACCTTTCTCACCCTGTTAAGTATACACAGTTGCTCTGGAAAAAAAATCTACCAATTGTACGGAAGGTGGAAGAGTGATACCATAGCTAAAGATTGAAATAGCATTTTTTGTGTGTTTCACTACTTTAGTAGTATAGTTTAAGGCTGCACTCCATTACAGGTCTTTGCAGAGTTCTTCTTCCGGTGTACACACCCCTCCAGCAGATAAATGTGAATCAAATCAGATTGTATCAAGGTTCTGTAATGTGAAGAAACAGATCTTAATAACCAAGCTGTCAGTTCTGTGATATTTCATTTGTTGCCTAAGGCAGTTTCAGTTTGCATCTTGTCTGATGAATGCCTACTGCAAAAATTCACACTGTTTTCTTCAAAAGGTAGCTGCCAGAATTAAACAAAGAAATAAAAGAAATTATTCCAACTGTGGCCAAGCTCAAGCATGATGTACACCTATTCCAGTCCTTCCACTCCGAAGATGTTTATACAGTACTTACCCTAGAAGTACTGCCACTGATATCGTTCAGTGTATTCTGATTTTATCACCATCACTGTTAGTAACTGTTCTTCATGTTATATCTAAAACAATGTTATTTTGTAAAGGAAATAAGGTAATGATGACACATGCAAGCTGTAACATTTAATTACTGTTTTCATCAGCCATAATGATAATTCAGCATGTCATTAACTTAATAGGCTGTAGTTAATATTTCTACTCAAACACCTCAAATACAGAGGTGCTTTATGAGGATAATATCTTGCTGGCATTGTTTAACCCCTTATCCTGGTGAAATAGTAATAAGAAAAATGCTTCAGGATGAAGCTTCAGATTAGGTGAGACTTGATCTTAAGTTATTACATAATTTTTATTATTTAACCTAATTTTATCAAAACATAAATATTACGTTTTTTGGCACAAAGCTCACTTAAAGGTACTGTAAAGCCCAGATGACAGTCTTTTTAGAAATATCCATTGTGAATGACAACATCCATACAAACATCCTAAATGTAAATGTGGTTGGATAAATACTCTCCTCATCCCCACCACAAATAAAAAGGTAAAATAGAAACCTTTTGGTGTAGGAAAGCTTTTGACATTTTTAGACAATGTGCCATTTTCCATTTCACATTTTATTGGTGGAATAGGCATATTTAATATTTTAAGACTATTTAAAATATGGTCAGTACTTCAAGAAAGATGTAGTGTCACAGATCAGCCCCTCCGACACTACAGAGCTAATGGCTTGTGATGGTTATAGGAACAGCAACTGGAAACGATGGAGCAGAAAAATTTCAATCTAGATTTGTTTTCCTTATCAAAATTATCTGTTGCAATTTCCCTTTAAGATCAGGGACAAATGAGAAGAGGCAGCCATGATCCTTCTGTTCTTGCAGACAATTAGTATCTACATTTCCGTGCAGGAGATATCCATTTCAGAAAAGGAAAAAAGCAACCTGTCCAGGAGGAGGACAGTTAATTGAAGACAGAATTATAGACACAAGTATATTGCAAAGAGCTTTTACTGTAGATAACATGCCAATATTTAATTATGTGCAATTAAAAATTTTTATTTCCCATTCCCAAGAATTAGCAGATTTTAATAAATGACATATAGAGACTGAAATGAGGATAAGGAACCCTGGAGTCTCCAAAGGACTCATTTCAAAGTTACACAGTAAATTTATTAAATGTGATATGGAAGGCAGAGGTAATTACATGCAGACATGGCAAGAACTCTAGGTAAGAAGATTTCCTTAGAGCACTAGTCACGTACTGATGTATGGCAATTACTGGTTTAGATATGTCATCGTTGCTAAGCAGTGACTCCCAACACTGTTGTTTAGTCTCACAGATCTCAGGTAGAAGGACTTACCACATTGCATCACATTGGGTAACTTTTGCATTAGGCAATTATATTTGCAGTCCTTATCTGCAACTCCTCCATCAGCTTTTACTTCAATATACTCAAATAATTCAGGACATAAATAATAAACGCCAACCATCCCGGTCACTTCAGTGACCAACTTTTAGGTGACCTCTCAGTCAAGAGCTGGAAATTTAGTCTGACAGTAAACAAGTAAAGTGACTCTTACAGTCTTAGTCATATCTATCTGATGGTGTTTATTTCCCCTTGAAAAGCATAAAACTGAGAGAAGAATTCTGTTATTCTACAAAGCACTGTCTTCTTCACTCAGAAGTGACAGCATATGTGTGTTGCTACAGGTTCTAAGCCCGCTGAGAAGGTCACTGACGTCCAGCCCTACATCAGTGGCTGTGTGGAGTTCTCAGTACTATGGCACATGGACCCTTGAGCATAACTGCATTTTTAGAAGACTTTTACCTCTTCTGCTCTCACTGGAATTGGTGTGCTTCTAACATTTGTGTTTCTCATTCTCTGCTAACAACTTGCTGCTGATGCCATGGCTAACTTCTGTATTGAATTCAGGCCCAAGAAGTGGGTACAAAACAGCAGCATTGTACAACTTCCTTGTTTACCCTGCTGCAACCAGATTTTATTTATTTATTTATTTATTTATTTATTCTTTTATTCTTTCCTCAGGACTGCAAACCAAATAACAAATTAAGTAGTCCTTGGTATGAAATAAAGATGATGGCTGTTTTTAAATCAGGCTGTTTAACTGTCAAAGTTAGGTGTGCCTAATTAAAACACAAAATTCTGTGTGTAATGCGTGCCAACGTTGCACATCTATTTAGTGTGTGAACCAATCTATGTATTATTAGGTATTGGATATGTTCCATGGACTAAAGTAAGGCAGTCTTTAGTCCAGGGGTGAAAAAATCCCTGCCTGTATAGTAGTTTCAATGCCAACCAGTAAGGTTGGCTTTTTCCTAGAAGATGAGCGTAAATTCCAGATCTGTATTTGATTGCCTGTCAGATTTCTGAAAACTCCTAGCATCATAATGGCTCCAGGTGGTCAACAGAAATGGTGGAGTATTTGGGATTTCCAGAGCCAGAGGATATCTATCTATTTATGCCTAGTAAATATGTTCAGAATCCCTATTGATTCCTATAAAGTTTTGTAAAGCTTTTAACAGTGTTGGCTATTTACAGTGTTTACCAGTGGTGCTATTTGCTGTTTTATCCTTGACTGCAACCATTTTACATCCATTGCTTCTACAGTGGCCATTGATTTAATCCCCAAAGCCTGGCTAGGGGGCCTGCTTTGTGAGTTGTTCCATAGTGTGAGCTATAGTTTTTGAAATGACATTGAATGCAACTTGATCTTTTTTATACTTGCAACCAAGCAGTCCACCCCCATTTTGGGTTTGGCAGTTCTTGTTGTTGCCTACCCTACTTGCCATCAACATTTTGAGACTGATAAGTTAGTAACAACTGTCTTCCAATGCCAAAAATGTGTGTTTCCTTGTGAAAACATTTGTCAGTGTTCCTCACCTAGTCCAGCTTTGTCAGCTGTTTGCATTTTCTCAACATTGTCTTTTTCTTATCTATGGACTATGTATTAAATCTTTGCTGATCCCCTGCCAGCCTTCACCATTTGAGATTTAAAGATTTTTAAAATACATGTTACTGTAGGAAGAATAGACATTTGCAGGCTAGTAGAGATTAGTAGATCGGGTAGTATGGAATAAGACATGATTTAATTCCCACTTAACAGCTTTCCGATTGTTTTCTCAAGGATGTCTGTTCTTTCTGATAATCCCTTATATTTGCTATTGTTTCATTTCCTGCTAGTCTCCCTCTTACAGCCTTTTTCACTTTAATTTCTGTGCCTTCCAGCAGGATGATATCGCACAGGTAAACTGTTGTTTATAAACACACACCCCGCTCCCCCAGTACGTGCATCTTTCATGTCTGTTTTGCCACTCATTTTCAGCATTGGTCACACAGAGTTCGTTGCCATGATTTGTATTCACAGTAAAGATACTTGAAAGGGATGCAAATGATTATACTGTTAAACTGAACTGCATCTAAACATTAGGTCTTTTCCTTCTTGAACCACAGCCCGTTCTACTGTGTGTAAAACTGTTCACTTCTGTCACATCCCACAAAATGTATGCTGATAGTTCACTCACTGTAAAAGTGCTATGTGTTTAATTGCCTTGTTCTGAGGAGTGTTGAGAGTATCACTCCCTATATACGGCTGAATGAAACAAGCTCCAGGGAACTTGAGAACTGAAGGGATGGAGCTACACGTTCTCTGGTGGAAACCACAGCTTGGGTTCCGTGGCGGTATATGGAAGTAGTCTGGGAGAAGGTAAAGAAAGTTGTAAAAGAAAATTGTTTCGTTTCCAGACTGTAAACATGACCCAAATTATCAACTCTGCTAGGAAAATGAGTGTAGTCCTGAGTTTGGTGGAATCAAGTAGGGTACAAAATGTGAGCCAGAATATACAGATATTTGTCCTTATTATGAAAAATTTTTATACAGTTTTTAGGTCACTAAGTTGAAGTTTGGCTAGCTTCCTGTTTTCCAAGATTCTTCAACGTATTTGGAATGGTAGCAGGCCGATGAGCGCCAATGATTGTATCACTTAGGGCAGAAGTTTGGTGTTTAACAGTTAGTATTAATGTAATGTTACAGTTTGGGAAATGGCTGTTGAAAGATCAGGTGAATTTAGACTGAAAGACTGCCAAAATGTAGTTTTATTCTGTAAGACAAACCTGTAGAAATGTCTGGTAGTACTCAGGATAAGAGCATTGCATCTCGCATGAAAGAGAGTGCTTAACAGCATCAGACATTTCATGTAACAGAGTAAATCAAGTAGATGTCATGCCTTTTATTCCTGTACCCATCCATAGACTTCAGTGGCAGAAAGTCGTTGTTTGGGTGTAAGATATAATGATATAATATATTCTGCAGAGGAGGTTCTTTATTTAGTAGTAACTTGTGAAAATATCTCTAGAGAGCTGATTAGTAAGCAACTAATAGTTCATTTTCACAAACAATTGAAATTTGTCCTCCTGACCCTCTGTTGTGTTGCATTATTACAGCTTTGACCTTTGAAACAACATACATAGACTGTGTTTAGTAGAAGTAAGATGTAACTCCAGCTTTTCAATACCAACGACCAATAAAATTTCTGTGGTAACGTGAATTCAGCATAACTGCTGCACTGGGTTAAATTTGAAAAAGTGAAAAATATAAAACTGTGACATTAAAAATTAAGGTAATTTACTTTCTATTTGCTGGGTCTCTTAAGCATAAGCATTTTCCCTTTTATTTCACTGCTTCTTAAGTCTTTATCATGGATTTAAACAAATAGTAATGTAATGAGACAACAGTACAAAGAGATATATTCTCTTGTTCCATTATAAAAAAGAAATGTGCCTTCAGCAAATTTTCTTAGCTCACTTGCTTCAAAAGGCAAGAGCTAAAGACCAAATCATCTACTGATCCAAGAAAAGTGATATGACAGCAGAAGCTTACCTGGAGAAGAAAGAATTCTCCTGTGGTTTTGGATTGTCTTTGGATCCCCTTTTACCCAGGGAACCACATAAAGCCAGGTCCGGGTGGCTGGGTTCCATGTGATCTACAGAATGGTCCATATTTGATCTTGTCGTAGTATAATCTCTGCTAGAGGACTCGTTATGTTACGGTGTTTCTGATATCAAAGGTATCAGAATGGCTTCTTGATATCACTGCTATGCTAGAAGCTGATTAGGTTCCTGTCACAAATGTTGACAGTAGTTCTCAGCATTCTTACTTCTCTATTATTCAGTGTAGTTATTTTCTTTTTGGTTTTGAGATGTTCATATGGAATAAATGTTGCTTACTTTCATACTGGTATTTAAAACCTTTATACCACATTTAAGTGTGCAGTGTCCATATCGCCAAATCACCAATGGCTATTAAGAATACTTTATTTTACAAGAATAATAAAGAATAATTATAAATGGCCCTTTTTTTGGAAGTGAAAAATAGGCAGGATATTTGTAGTTGTCTTATTAAAAATTTAACGGCTATGTGGTAGCTTGTTAGATTCTAGTTTGTTTTATTTGGGTTTTTGCAGGAATTGTTCCCCCCCCCCCCCATAAGTACAAGTCATTTCAGATTGGAAACAAAAGCATGCAAATAGTTATTTTAGTAGTTGTATTTATTGTTCAATTATTAAAATACAGCTAATTATGTAGTGCTATAATAAAATTGTGTTATAAAGTGGAAGTATTCCTTGAAAAGCTATTTAATTTTAAATGTCTATGTTCTGCATCCTAAGAGTGACTTTGAGGCACAGGTGCCTCTATGTCTTTAGTAAAACCTTGTGTTATATTTTGACAGTCTGGCTCATGCTCCTCACTGATCTCAAGTATTCTTATGCTTCCAGAAGTGTCTCTTTCATTTCAATATGGATATTAATGAATATGGGTATTGGCCAGGGTTGCTAATACTGACCTTTTATTAAATTTTTTATGACTGGCAATGATGTTTCGACCATGTGAAGGAACTTGACCTGTTCATTTTCAGTTTCTGCCACAGAGGCCACATTCTACCAATCCTGACTGTATGACTCCACATGGAACTATCCTGCATCAAACCTTGGATTTTGATGAGTTCATACCACCAATACCGCCTCCACCCTACTACCCACCAGAATATACCTGCACACCAGTGATGGAGGCACAGAGGTGATTATTCTTCCCTGTAGTTACAGTCATCGCATAGTTCTGTGCTACAGCCTATGAAGCCTATGTCCTTCACTTACATTAGGTGCTTCTTTTCCAGAGAGATTACATACATCTTTTGCAAACTTGTTAGGATGCACCTGGAAATATTTGTGTTAAAGCACTACTGTAATAGAGAAGTGATTGAACTTGGCTAAGGCAAGGATAACAATATCTGAATTTAAAGCAGAGATCAGCTTATAGGTAATCCTTTCACAGTTGTTAACATTATACACTTGAGGCTGAATATGAGATTTAACTTTTTAAGGAAATCATTGCAGTTAATGTGTATTATTGTGAAGTAGTGAAGGACATCAATGACTGCAAAATGAGCCAGTAGAGATGGCTGGCATCCAAAATGAAATACAATTTTTAAAGCTACCCTGTGAATGAGGGCTTCCTTTTGGTTATCTAATAAACTTCTTCAGTATGATTCTTTGCAGTGTATTGGCTTTGAATTCAGAGGATGCTCTACATCACTGTGGTGTAGGTAGTAGTTTACCAAATAAATCCAATGCAATTTCTTAATAATTAAGTTTGCTTGCTTGTTTTTTTAAATAGAGGTCTCCATTTGGACTTTCCTCATTCCCCATTCAGTGCTTTGTATGAAGTAACCATTAACAGCCCAGGAATGCTGTATCCAACTGAGCTGCCCCCTCCTTATGAGGCAGTGATTGGAGAGACACCTGCCAGTCAGGTAAGGAAAGCCAAAAGAAATTCTTTACGCAGTCTTCAAATTTTTGTGATATGAAACAATTTTAGATAAGTTTAAGGATCTAAAATAATTTAGCAGTTAATTGTACTTTGGGGGACAACCATTTGAAAATATTTATATTCTTTAAGCACATTTTTCAGACCATTCTCTTTAAAGGGGTTTAACTAACAGATTTTACCTAATGTGTGTTTTCCTTATGTTCTTGTGCATGGTTGGGTAAATGCTTGTGCGAGTGACATTAAATACTTCAGCTGTTATCCATTAAAAAAAGTAGTATGATATTGGATTGTCAGTAGCAAAAATCTAGAAGAATGGATTGGAAGCACAGAAGCACAGTGGTTTTCCTTATTTGAAAAGGATAAAGATGTTTTAAAACAGGATTATATTTCTTAATTTCTATAGGTAATAAGGAATTAGGAAGCAGGTTTGTTTTCTTAAAAACCCCTAAAGCTGTAAAATATTTTTTATTCCAACTACTGATTTGTCTTGCTTTAATATAGTACTTTTAGTTGGAGCTCAGTACAACAGCGTAGGTTTAATAAGGAAAAAATATAACTGAGTGTCTTTTAACATGTAACTCTAATAACTTCTGTATGTTTGTGTATGTGTGTGTTTAGCATAGAACTCATGGGACATTTGGTTTTGCTTTGCGTTTGATCTGAGCCAAGATAATTCCAAGTTCCCATTTTAAACTCTGCATGTAGGTAGAACACGTAATTGAAAATTCCTAACAGAAATCTCTGTAAACAGCCTCAAATTAACAAAGTTAAAAATACACATTTGCAGTCCCCCACTTGTGTCAGATTTCAGATCATGTTCTGTAAGAGTACTGGGAGCATCTGGTAATAGTATGGGTTCTTATAATGGTATGCTCTAGTCTTGACAGGATGCCTTGAACTCAGTGCCAAATTTATGCTTTAATAGTTGTAAGATACAGCCTCCTTAGGGAGGGAGGCTCCTATCAGGCACCAAAGTGCTAGAAACTGATTCCTGCCTCAGTGTTACATTAGTTGATAAGAAACCATACAGACCAAAGATTTGAATGATAAAGGGATAGGGATGTGTTCTTCCTATGAAGTAGAAATTAGTAGTTGCTCTATCTGTTGCTTATACTTTTGGCTGTTACGGCTTTTAATAGCCTTTTCTGTTATATGGCAGAAACAGTTACTCCTGAGAGTGCGTAACACCTTTATTCTGAACTTTGAGAAAGGCTCCAGTATACTTCAGACAAATTTTTATGTTACGCTTTTTGCCTTATTTTTTACTATGCAGTGTCAGCTCAACTGAAACTAGAATTGTAATGTATCTGCATGTACAGCCAAAGCTAATTTGAGCAAAGTTTTGCTTGAAGTGAATTGTTATAATAGAATCAGCTGTCACAAATGGGAAAATACTTAAAATTGCTTTTAGAAACTGTGATTTCTGGCAGGCTTCAGTAAAAACTCAAGGAGTCAAACATTCTAGGTATCAGTTACCAGTTGTTAGTAGTGCACGGTGGAAATATGTGTTCAGGTTGGATCAAGGTCCATAGAATTTTTATTAAACTGTATCAAATTAGACTCAATATTTCATGCATTTCGTGTACAACAAATGTCAGTGCTAATTTAAGTGGTTACATCTAAGTAAAAATTGCTGTTGTCATCTGTACTGATCAGGAATTCCCATTTTATGACTATGAAAAAAAGTGGTTTTCACACTGTTTTCCCTGCAAAGTATTGACTAGGATATAGAAAAGACAAGAATAGATCAGGGTTCTGGGCGAATTATACCAGTGACTGTTTTGTAAGGTTTACTAACCTGTAGACTCTGCAGGCTTGTTAAAAGCATGGTGGTTCTTTCCTTTTCCTATTGATAGCTTAGTGGCTATCTTTACCAGCTTTATGTCTGAGGATGTGCAAGTCATTAAGGTTTTGTTACCCTAGGCTGTGCAGGAACCTGTGTGAAACAGATTATATCCCTGATTTCTTCTGCATGTCTGAAATCTTGAAATCTCTCATTTTCCCACTATTGAGGAAGCTAGTTATCAATGAGGCCCTTAAGAGAGAAACCTTAAAGATGATGAGTGCTCTTCTGTATACGGCAGATTTTATATAGAGGGGAATATTCACAGTCTTCTGTTTGGTCTCAAGAAGCAATTTCTGTGTATGTAAATTTGTCCCATCTATTTGTCATATTGTTGGGGTTTGGTTGTGGGGTTTATTGTTGGTTTTGGTTTTTTGTTTGTTTTAATTTCCAGCAGTTGTAATTAGAGAAAACTAATATACTCTGCAGTATATAAGCAAGCATCCAGAGGTTAACCTGAGCGGCTGTGTCCTTTGATTCATATAGTAACGAGTCACCTCTAAGAATGTTATCTTGTTTATGCAGCCCCATGTCTTTAGGTATGTTGCTGCAAGGTTTTCAGCCTCTGTGGGAGCCTCTGCGATTGAGGCAGAGCCTGAGAAGGGATGTGATGTGCGGTGGATGAGCTTTTATGTCCTCTAAATTCCAAAGGATGTGAAAGGCTGATACAAATCTCAATGCGTGGAGGAGAGTGCTAAGAACAGTTCCTTTCTGTAGGCTCCTTGAGTAAAACATGAGTCCTTACCTTAGGTGAGCTGAAGGACTCTCAACATTAACACCTAACGCCAAGGTAAAATAGTTTGTCTCCCACCCGTTTTGGAATACACCTTGGATCCATGGTGTGTTCTGTGCAAGCTCTGTTCCAACAAGATGTCAAAGCAGAATACTGATAGCTCCTTGTGTCAAATGAGCTTAGTTGTCTTATTCCCAGGTCAAAAATTTCTGTCAGCTCTATAATTGTTCCCTTTGGCAAACTAAGCAGAGAATTAAAAAAAAGAAAAAACAAAGAATATGAAGATTGAACTGCCGTAATCTAGAAATGTTTGTGTAATAGGAAACTAAGCTATGTAAATACAATGCATGTATTTCTTCTGACTGTAAAATAGTGCAATTTTTTTGAGAGATGGAATATTTTGATTTCAAGAACTGCTAAGCCAGTTTTTTTCACAAGCCTTAAGTTTGCTTTATATGCTGTATAATGATAGAATCATAGAATGTTTTGGGTTGGAAGGGACTTTTCTTCCTTATATCCAGTCTAAACTTACCCTGCTTCAGTTTAAGACCATTACCCCTTGTCCTGTCACAGCTGGCCCTGCTAAAAAGATTTTCCCCATCTTTCCTCCTCCCTCGACCTGCTGCCCACACTTCTCCCGATGCAGCCCAGAGTACGGTTGGCCTTCTGGGCTGCCAGCACACATTGCCGGCTCATGTCCAGCTTTTCATCCACCGTACCCAAGTCCCTCTCAGCAGGGCTGCTCTTGATCCTTTTTTCCCCCAGCCTGTATTGATACAGGGGGTTACCCCAACCCAGGTGCAGGACCTTGCACTTGGCCTTGTTGAACCTCATGAGGTTCACATGGGCCCACTTCTCGAGTTTGTGCAGGTTCCTCTGGATGACATCCCATCCTTCAGGTGTATCAACCGCACCGCTCAGCTTGGTGTCATCTGCAAATTTGCTGAGGGTGCACTCGATCCCACTGTCTATCTCATTGATGAATATATTAAACAGTACTGGTACCAGTACAGACCCCTGATAATAATGTTATTATTTTAAATTTACTAGATCAAAGCTACAGTTTATTCTTTTTCATTAGTACAGGTTTACCAAATCCTCAGTTTGACATGTAACTCGTTTTATAGGTATTAGGCCATTTTATGGGTACTAGACAATGTCACTACAGCTGCTAGGTGACTGGGAGAATGTAGAAAGTCCATACGTGTTTCAGTACAAATATTCAGCAGATATTTTCCTGTCAATGACTAAGAATTTGTGAAACCACCTAGATTTAAAGAGAACCCCTAGATTTTTAAAAAGAAACAAACATCCTTAAAACATTATATTATTTCTTAAAAAATGTAGTTAGTCTGATTGAATTTTCTCCAGAAACAAAGAGCATTTGAGAACACTTCTTTTCCAATTAGTTCCCAGCAGTTCCACAGTCAATTCCCAGGAACGGTCTGCAACTTGGAGTGAAACCACTGTTTCATTGTTGTGGTTTTTTGTTTTTTTTTTTTTACCACAGATGCAATATTCTGCTTCAATAAAGAAAGATCCTTTAAGAAATTTCAAAGAAAAATTGTTTAAAAATATGGGTGATTTCACCTTTGCTTCCCAGTCCTCTACCCATCTATTGCTGAGTTAAAGTATTTCTGGTACTGTTCTTTGCTTAGAATTGTATCCGTTAACCCTGGGATGTAAGATCACTTTTAAAAACTAAATTTATATCAGAAAAAGTTTCCTGAGCACTTGATCATAGTAAGCTATAGATAGATAAAAAATTAGTGCGCACACTAAGTTATGCATATATATGTGTGCATTAGTCTACACTGGCATGTGCACTGGAAGCTCTTTCCTTAATAGCTTCAGAGTAATAGTGTCACATTCAATTTTTTAGAAGGCCAGATACAAATTAAGCTTGTCACAAAAAGGTTTTCACAGAGATGACTGATGGTTATTTCGAGACTCTGTCACCGACTGTAATAAGCTTTTACTAGTTAATTGTGGCCCTACAGACAGAAGCAGATATGACGCTTTCTGCTAAAGATGGTATCAATCTCATTCCCTTTGACTTTTCTTTTTATATTTTTCTCATTTATTGTTGCCAACTATTTATTGGAACCATTTTTTAATAATCATGATTCCAAAGAACTGCTAAAAATCTAATGAGATTGGCAACAAGGTCCAATCCAATATCTGTTAAAACCAGTAGAAAGAAGATTTCCTAAAGTTCAGGTGTTTATGGATCAAGTCTTTCCAGCAGGGCTGATTCTGTATTTTGCTCAAATGATTCTCTAAAGTGAAGGGAAGTTACCCACTTAGATCCATCCTTTCAGTAAAAAGTTAAGTCCTAGTATTATCTCCCTTCAGCAATCTCTGATAGGCTGGAGAGTGCCCTGCATCAGCCGCGTTGGGCGGCAATGATGTTATAGGGCTTAAAAATACATTAGATGTTAACATCTTGCAAATAGCCAAAGGAAAATACTGCTCTTGTGCTGGCTTTTATGGTGTCTATTGTTTCTATTCTATTTTAGGGTGATACAACATGGTGGGAAAAAAGTATAACATGGAAAAACGCAGATTGTAGAAGAAGAGATAGATACTAAGTTTTCTAATGTGGGCCTGCAGCCCTGGATGCCTGTGAATTCAAGACTAAACTAGCTTGTAGATTCCAGAAAAATGGAAAATTGCTCTAAGCACGTTCTGTTGCCCTGCATTTGTTCCTGACCCAGAGACATTGTAAAATACTGTATCTTTAAACAGCTTTCAATCTGAATAGCCTCTTACATGATAGTTCTCTCACGTTGTCAGGTGTGTTCTTAAGACCATCAGCACTATACTTTGTTTTTGTAAATTACAGATTAATGTACTGTTTCATTAAACAATTTTCATGTAGGTCACTGGTACTGATCAGCAAGTATCTGAATCAAGCGTGGGTGAGAGGAACATGACCCTGGACTTCAGCACACAAGGTAATCCTAGCATTGTGTTTGTCTACTCGAGAAAGATGCAGTAGGATTTTTGAGTGGGCTTTTCCTTTTCTTCTGCCCTTCTCAATGGAGAAAGAAGGATTTGCTTTCAGATTTTCATGGCAAGAACCACCTTTTTGCAGTCAGAAACTGATGCGGTTGGAAATGCAGAGGAGAGTTTTGCTCAACAAAGTACACTCTATAAAGCCCTTTGAGGCAGATATGGCAACCGTCACTTCTCTTTGGAGAGTCATGCACATAACTGGCAGTTTGTTTGTCATAGTCAGCAACCCCTGATGGGATGCCTTCCTGATAGTCCACATAACTTCTCCATATAGTATTTCCCTGCATGGCTTCCAGAAGCCTGAATAAAGAAGCTTGCTGCCTGAAGCATAGATGGTTGTGAATGCAAGTAGACAAGTAGCAGCACAGAGCCTGTTTTTTAAAGTTTAATAGTTACTAGAGTAGGCCTCCTTACCACGCCTGCTGATATGGAGGGCTTTTAAGATATTACAGCCTCAGTGGATCATGAGGTGTTAAGCAGTTTGTATGAAATAAATCTTTTAGCAAAACTTCCATTAAATACTTTTTTCACATCATATTCATACCGTATTAATCAATAGACTGGCAAGTGTTCTCAGTTAGTACGCTTATGGACAGAGAGGTGGTGGCAGAGTGCTCCAAGAAGCAGAAACAGTCCTCTCCCTCCTAGCATCCAGAATGGGACCAACAGCCTAACAGGTAAGTGAGGAGCATCTGTTCCTACACAGAATATCTGTTCTGTGAAGAAGGAATTCAGTTTCCAGAGCTACCAGTGGTCACCTGTAACTATTGCGAATTTTTTAAATTTTTTTTTTTAAAAAACCCTGGTGTTTGACAACTACAAAAGAGTGTAACAACTGAAGGTGACTAGTTTTTGAGTGCTGCTGTTAACAAGGGCTGTGTTTACTACAGAGCTAGTTCCCAAAGTTCATGAGTACATTTGGACTTCACATGCATGTACGAAGGTCTAAATTCTAAGGCCAGTGCTGGAGCTTTTGGCTATTGAGAGCAGTGGACCAGCTCTCAAGCCAGGGTTTTGATGTTACATATTGCGCTGTGTGCACATGAAAGGGAACTACAAAGGTCTCGGGCATGTTTTATTCGTGTAAAATCAGTCAGGTGTCACCATTCCATGTCTTTTGAACAGTGATTGCTTCTCATCTGCCTGAGGCCCCTCCTCCTGCTCTCTGTGTTACCAGAAAAACCATGCCAGTGGAAGAGTGGAATAGTAATGTAAATACAGCTTAAGGCTCATGAGTCCAGGTAGCTACCAACCAGACTTGAGTTACCAATTAAAGCGAATAAAACCAGAGAGAGTTTGGACAGTGAAGATCTGAAGACGGGCACAAACTGGATGCTTTTACTTATCCATGCAAACTTTATAGATATTTGAAAGCCTGAGTTAAGGGAATATGTTGCAAAGAATGATTCTAACTAGGTAAAAAATGTTTGGGGACTCATCACAAATATCAATGGTCCAATAAACCACTGCAGCTTTGCACCTAACACATAAAAAAGTGGTGCATATTATGCATTTTTAGCATAATGTACATGTATAGATATATCTCCAGTATTGATTATGATGTCCTTTTTGGCAATCTTATGATTGCCTTGTGTTACAAATTTATTTCTTGGAAGCCCCCAAAGAAAATAGTTGTGATTCATTCTATGTAAGAAGAAAATGTCCTTCTTAAAATCCAACCTCATGAGTATTAGATTTTCATTTTGATAGTTAATTTCTCTATGCTGTAGAAAGCTTTTTGCTTCCTAGACCCCAAAACATGGGAACACTTAACAAACGTTCTCTGATTCATGAAAAGATCCTATTTTTCTATTCTGAACAAAACAGTTAAAACACATTTGTCTCATCAATGCGGTTAGCAACAGCTGTTATGCAAAAAAGGGCATCAGAGGCTGCTGAGCTGAATAGAATTATGTAAGTTGTGTTTTGTAAATATTTTGATTTTAGATGTAGGACTTTAAGGAATTCCCGTCTGATACGGAAAAAGTGTTATCTGTATTATTGGAGCCTGGAGACTCAATTATCTAGTCTTGTTTTCTTTATTTTTGCCATGACATTGAGAATAATGCAGAGCCGAATACTTACTTTCGTACAAGGGGCCATTTTCATCCATAATATACATTTGTAGACATGACAGAGGGAGTGATAACAATCTCAGTTTCCAATACAAGGGGCTTCAAAGATGATGTGACCTTGCAGACAATATTTAGCTTCTATCGGAAGTGTGCCTGTCACGTATCTTGTGTGCCAGAGATGTTCTGTGATGGAGAATTGTCATTTGGAAAGAACGTAAGATACACACATCAGGGAAATGAGGATTGATTAGAAAGTGTTAGGTGCAAAGCAAATATTGACAATAGTGATAGGTTTCAAAGTGATGAGAGCCATGTTTTTTCAGAATTTGTGTAAAGCTTTATTTTTTTGTACCACAGGCAATCTCTCGTGGTTTACCAGACAAACCAGTAGTGAAAGAGCTGTTCCTGTCCAAACGTAGTCACAGATAATACTTTGGTATCAGTGCTCAAGTATGCTTGTTACTTGAAGAAAATACTCAAAACCAGCAGAAATTATCTTTGCTGAAGGACAATAGAAACAAGTAAATGAGTTCGGTCTTTTTTGCTGTGGCATTCTGTCATCTGAAAGCTTTTGAGGAATTATTGATGTACTTGCCAATTACTAAATTTAAATCTTTGTATTGCAAACAGGGCCGGGGGAAATGGGAGAGGGGCAAGAAGTCTTCTCTCTGAATCTCTTGTCTTGCAGTTTCTGTTGAGAGCACCTCTTTGATGGTCTCTGAGGCTGTTGATATCCCAGACCACAGCTGCTCCTCTGAAGATCTTTGTTCACTAGAAGTTCAAGGCTCTCTCCATTCTGCAGACCTTTCTCCCTACTGTACAACCCCCACAGGGGCTACGGACCAGAGCTGCAGCACTCTGGATTACAGCAGCTGCTGCAAGTTCCACAGAACTCGCTCAGAGGGTTTTCCTGATGAGGATGACAGTTCCCGCAGTCGAGCCTCTACAGACAGGTCTCAAGGACAAGAAAAGAACTGTGCCCATGGCAGGTCCTTGGATTGTTGCTCAGAGAATTTCAGCCCCCCAGAAAGAGAACTGCAGAGTTCTGCTCATGAGAGCAATGCCACACCACCTTTGAAGCAAAAGAAAATCTGCTGTGCAGCCTTTAGCCAGCCTCTTGTCCCTTCCCAGACCTCTCCCTGTTTTGGGCCCACAAATACTTCATCAAATACCAGTGGCCATGAGCGTACTGTCCAGCAGCATCACATTACAAAACACCGAATTTCCAATATAGTCCGATCGACTAGTGACCCTGTAACATGTTCATCATACACAGAAGGTAGGTGCAGTACCACAGGGCTGGTGGAGCATGGATACAAATGAGTGGTATGTGATCTATGCAGCAATTGGTGCTGCTGGAAATTATATGAAACGTTCCAGTGAGGGATGACTTATGTGTGAAAGCTTTAGTTCCATGGACATTTCCTAGATTTGAACATTTTTAAGAAGAATGGAAATGGGAAAAGTGACAGAGTGAAATTAACTTTGGCTTTTCTAAATTGTACCGGCCTTTCTGCAGTGCTCAGAAAACCATCTCTCAAGTAGATGCTTCCACCTCTCTGTTATATTGAGAAGCTGAACTAAGAAGCTGAATGGTAGCTGGGGTCTATTTAGGAAACGATTAACTGAGCCGCCATGCTTGTAGTGCAGCAGGCTGTGTTTCCCAAAGGTGATGCCGACATTGACAGTATTGGTGCATGTCAGAGGCAGTTAGTGTGACTGTGTAGTGGCAAGTTGGACTTCATGGTGAAAAGTTTTAAAGGACAAAGAAATGAAAGATGAGGCATGTGACAAGATGATAAATTAAAAGGAAAGCTTTTGACTGTTGTGGATAAGCATCTTCTGATATGAATTGCATTTTAGACAAGTAGGGAAGAAGAGAGGAGATGGTTGTTAGCTGTACACTATCTTCATAAAAATCTGCTTGTTAGCGGAAATGTTTGATTTAGTAGAACAGCTTGATCAAATAATAGCAAGAATGTAGAATTGTCTAAATCATTTGAAAAGTGCAGGTTTTACAAAAGGATGTAAGCTATTTAGAGAGATTCAGAGGGGTAACCTGGAGAAGCAGTTTGAGAGTAAAGATTAAAAGCTTTGTAAGATGTCACAGATTGTGCTGTTAGAGATGCATTCACTGGGCTTTCTAAGGGCTCTACAGGAAGAATCATGACTAGCTCACAACAAAAGTAGACAAAATGCTGAAAAAAATGATTTGATTTAGGAAGATGATGTGTTGGCTCTGTTATGCTTTTTGCATCATTATTGTGTTTCTATGAATTTCAGAGACCTCATACTTAGCTCAATAATTGAATGTCTTTTACCTTTAGAAATCTAGCCTCAGCATGCTGTCCAGGAAAAGTGAATCTTTAATCTAGAAGTCTGCATTTATTTTATGACATTTACTCTGCTAGGATATACGTGCTATGAAGCTGCCATGCAGACAGTAAGTAGGAATTTCTGAGTCCTTTCTACTGTGCCAAAGACAAGAAGAATGGCCCTTTCTCTTCGGATCACGCTCTGCAAGTTTTCCATATTGTGCTCCATATGCTCTTTGAGTAGTGTTTGAGAGAGAGATTACTGTAGGCAGCCATATCTATATGTTCTAGCTGACTGCTGGGACACCTGGTAGAACAGATGCTCTGCCTTCATCTTTAACGTGTTCTAAATAAGCCCATCATCTTTTCTGGAGAATTGGCATTATAGGAATTATTTTGACTAATTTGCAAGTTCTTAGCCTCGTGAGCGGAGGGACAGGGGTTGAACATTACAGAGATGTAAATGGCCTTAGCAAAGATTGTAATAAAGGAGCAGAGATGGGATGGTTCTGGAGATCACAAAATCACAGAATCGCAAGGGTTGGAAGGGACCTTGGGAGATCATCTAGCCCAACCCCCCTGCTAAAGCAGGTTCTCCCAGAGAATGTTACGCAGGACATCATCCAGGCGGTCTTTGAATATCTCCAGAGAAGGAGACTCCACAGCCCCCCTGGGCAGCCTGTTCCAGTGCTCCATCACCCTCAGATGCTGATCTACACACAGCAGAGGGGGGAGCAAGAGAAAAAGTAACTCAGAGGGAATGTGCTGACGTAGCCTGCCATTCTTTCACTGCCTACAGAGGACTCTTTAAAATGAAATATTAAAGAGAAGCACTTGAGTCTAGATGTGCATATTCCTTTCGTTTATATGCTTGGCAAACTACAGTTTGCAAAATTTTACATCGCTTCCCCTTCCTCTACTTTTTGTTGAACTTTATTTGGAAATCATACTTCGGTTAGAAGCAGCACTGGCTGTTTGTAGCAGCCCTGAAGCTTATTTTTCCTAAGTTGTCACACACAGCTCAAGTTCTTCATAGTCTTTATAATTTAAAATTTAAAATTAAATTTAAAAAAAAACTGTCCCAGAGTAGAAGAACTGGTCAAGTAGACTGACCATATGAAAGACAGAGCTGTAACTATGTATCGCCAATGCTAGTAACTCAAGTGAAGGGATACACTGCGGATTTTGGAGAACTGAGGGGTGGGGGAGCTTCAGGCATGTTCACCAATGGTCAGACTGGTAAGTGGGGTTTGGTTTTGTCTCAGGACGCTGTCTTTCTACTTTAAGAAAAAGTATTAATTTATCTTGTGATTAACCTTCCTATTCAAGTCAATGTGAAGAGATTTAGAAGCACAACCTTGACATTTACTATGTAGAGTTTTGTTAAATGGGTCTTGAATGTTACTGTAATTGCATGGCACGTGGTTTGGAACATAAATGCTTTGACACAGGGACGTTGTGCATGTGCGACAGCATAGTGACACAACAGCAATGAGACCTAATGATTCAGTAATCTGTGAATTTTAACGCCAGCATAAAACTCTGGATTTCAAGCACATCTTGACATGATGGGGTCTTTACGGTAGTCAGTAATTGTCCCATTAATCCTTTAATGCTGCAAGTGAGCTTCCTTATTTGTTTTGAAATTTGTTTGATCTGTCATTCCTAGTAGAGAAATTATAGATGAAAGTTCAGTTTAATTGGTGCCTTTATAGTCACTGTGTAGTCCTTGGACAAAGTAAGTATGGTGGGTTTCACATACAATCTCCATAAGAAATTGTTCCCTCTGAAAAAAAGATTACTTATAAATGAGTAGCTTGCATATTTTTCTGTCTTCTCCCTGAAAAGTTTATCATAGCAGAGGAGGACAAAATCAACTTCTAGCACTGATGTTTGTTACAATAGCCTTAATCTGTAATCAGATATGATAGACTGTGAGGCTGTATCAGCTAAGTGCCTGAGTGATTATTGTAGTGTCTGTGTTCCAGATAATTCAGGATAATGTCTAGTGGTGTAGTTTTGACTGTGCCGCAGGTGCATTAAGCAGTATAATAATGCATGGGAAGACAGAACTGCTGAAGTAGTTCCTCTTAATAAGCATGCCATGATTCATGTGTTGCAGTACTTCAGCATAATAAAGCAAATTAAAGACAGAATAGAAGCTGTCTCTCTTAATTTCTTACAGATTTTCTATGTTTGTAGCATCTTGCCTTTGTTTTCCTTCATTTAATTATTCACTCTACCAGAGAGGGTTATACTAGCTCTTCATTATAAACTTTCCCTGAAGATATGGAAGAAAACCTCTTTTAATCTACCTAGAAGTTCAAAATAGTTTTCAGTCTTGGAAACAGATGTAAACAGCCTTAGCATAAATGTGAGGGTTTATTCTATCGTGTCTGTCACAAGCTTAACGTCTAAAAGACTGCACTGCTAATTACTGTATAGTGTGATCTCATCATTGTTGATCCTTGTGCTGGCATCCCAGAAGCTCATTAGAAGGCAACAATGTCCAGAGCTGTTTGTAGGTGCTCTGTAACTGCTTGTTATTTGATTGGATCATCAGTAACCATAGCAGTCACCTACCCATTAATTTAATCAGCGGTGGATAGCATTTATTCTGCAAAAAATGAGAATCTATTAAAAAGGGAGGTAGAAATATTGAATAAAATGCTGGTTTTGTAGAAATAAGAAGAATTAATCTTTCTTGGTTTTCCCATTTCCTAAGATAAACTCTGTCTGCCAAGGAAATACGGGGAAGTCTGAGGTCTGCCCCTAGCAGGGAGCCTTTTGTAGCGTCAGTGCTTAGGCCTTGAAATATTTAGGATCTGATTGCTGTAGAACAGAGAGGAAACCATCAAGCAGGAACTACATCTTTCTATTTGTATTTATTTAACAGCTTATAGGCCATTTCTGTGTATAGTAGCCTCTCTAAATGAATGGACATCTTGAAAGTAGTATTTCTTCTGGGTAGTTTCATTCTGTAAACGAGATAATAAAAGATTCCAATGTATTTTTCCTTGCTTTGGGCAGAGGATAGCAGGGGTTGATTGTGCTCTTTCTCCTTCTCTTTGGTTAAAGGTGCCTGGACTCCGATAGGTAGCCAGTGTCATGATGCAGGACTATCTCCAGCTACATTAGAAACAGGTGAGGATCAGTTTTCTAAAGCAGGATCATATGGGTTTCCTTCTTTTGTTTTAAAAGTAATTAAAAGCTTCTAATTGAGAAACAAGCTCTAGAAAATTTGGGGCAGAAAAAACACTTATTAACAGCATACATACAATGTACAATGCTGATGGAGCCGGGCTTTGAGTGGAAATAAAAGCTGCAGATGAAGTCCTCTGTTGTGGTTTAACATTTCTGCTTTCTCTATATTTCATACTAATCTCTCCTGTATCACTCACTGCTTACAATCTTTGAGGCCTAGAAAGAAGGGGAACTTTATCCTTGAGGGGTGGCGGGGCGGGGAGGAGGGGGGCTAAACCAGTTACCACACCTACATGTATAACACTGAGTAGCTGCTGTTTCCCATTATCATCAAAGTCAACTGAAGTCCCTGAAAGTAGAGGTAATAAAAATGTCTGTGATTTATGAAATACTTTAATTACCCACCCACTCATCCTAAATGCGTTAAATACTGTGTGGCAATGTTTCCTTGATTGCATGTTTTTGTTATTCTTCAGAAAAAAAACAGGCATTTTATGACAAAGTAACAACTTTCGTGACAATATTTGTTTTGCCTTTTTTCTTTTTTTTTTTTTCCTTTTTTTTAACTTATTACTTTAAAGATATTCTTCCCCCCCTTTTTTAGTTCCTGTTTCTGGTTCTCATATGGCTGCCTCTGCTTGTCAGCATTCTTTGAGCAGTTTCCTACCGACTGGAAAACAGAGGGATACAAGGAAAATTGATGTACACCTAAAGCCAAAGGCTTTGCACACAGTCTCAAAAGAGCGACCACATTCTTTAGTGGACCTTAAGGCCTATAAAGACACAAAAATTTTAGTGGCAAAATTTTTGGAACATTCAAACTGTAATCTCCCTCCAGAAGTACGTCACGTAGTGAACAGCATACGATCAGTAATAAAATCTGATGAGAGACACATGGAAGAAGCCATCTTCAGTGCGAATATTATAGACCAGGTAGGCCATTTAAGTTCTGAAGATTTGTTCAACCGTGATAGACACATACCTTACTTAAATGTTTTTACAGTTTTAAGCACTTCAGACAATGCCTACAAAAGTTCTTTTACAGTAGACTGGCTTTAGTAAGAAATAATATTTATTGGACAGCAGTACATTTTACACTGAGGCACTCATAAATGCTTTTAAAATTCCTCAGCAGAACCCAGTACTACCCTAGGAGATCTATAGGGAGCTGATATTTACATGTCTCTTTCTTCCAATGTCTTTCTGCCTCTGTGACTGTTCCATACATAAATTTGTGGTTATATACAGAGATGGACAGAACTGACTTGGATCTGTTGTTTCTTTCAGGGAAATGTATTTGTACAGCATAAGCTACGAGCTGAAAAGAAAGGGTAGATAAACAAGCAGGGCCATGATCTATCAGAACAGAACAGTGCAGTTACCCTTACTCCTGGCTGGAAGAATAATGACCCTTGCTATTTTTAAGAAAACAAATTGAGAAATTGTGCTTTTCCAAATGAAGGAATAATGCATCTTCTCACCTTGAGTGAGAATAAAACATACACACAGCTTGGAAGGAATCCTATAAAACAGGGGAATTAGATATAATAATAATAAACATCATTATTTATTATATTATATAATCATATTGTGGGCGCAACTTCTATTATTTAATGCATATTTAATAATCTTTTTTGCAGGGAGAAAGGTGATGAATCAGCTGTTGCTAGTACTGTAAGCAGAATGATAGCTATAGAAATGAAGCTCCTTTTCTGTTGTCAGATTTGCAAAGCAGAAAGTAGCTCTTAGCGCGGACTAACCACATTCAGGTTGACTCTAGGGTTTCCACAGAGCCAGACAGACAATTACGGATACGGGTTTGGGGGCTGTTTCCCCTGCTTCTGAGATATCATAACTCCTACGGTATCAGTGTGCTGATCCTAAGCAAGGGGAACTAGCTGAATATTAAAATGGGATGTAATAACACCTAAATAGCATGTGAGATAGTGTGATGTGTAGCAGGAAACAGCATTTAATAAAGCTTGCTGCAAGATTGGGTTTGCTAACTATGAAGTAGAACAAAGTAGCACTGATTCGGGTACCTCTCTAGTCACGTGGGTGGAAAAGCAGTACTATCATGACATACTTAACAGTCGGTATGGAATTAAATCTTAACATTTTTATTGCTTTGCCAAATTTATAGGTCATTAAATCCTCAAGGTCAGAAAGTTGAAAACAGTTTTCTTTAAATGAAAAAAACCCTGTAGTTTCTCACAGAACAGTATAAAAAAATTTGAGTGTTTATGTATATCATAAAACCAGAAACCAATGACCCAATTTATAGCCTGTGTGGATTTCTTAGATCCAGGGAGACAGACAGTTTTTTCACATTAAAGAAATAATTTTAGTAGGTTGTGGGGTTTTTTTCCAAGACAAGAACCATTATTAGTTAGTGAAAGCCCAGGGCATTCCAGCAATCTACTTGAGAAGTCACAGAATTTTTGGTAAAATAGTTGTATAATTCAGATTTGTGAAGTAGCTTGACAGTTCTATTAACACCAAAATGTTTGTTTACCAGGCTTGCAAAGTTTTCGTTCTCCTTCACCCTCAGCAAAGCTAGCGAAGCATCTATTTCTCCTAAAAGAAACGGATGAGTTTAATGTGCTCCAAACTTGTCTTTGTCAATTATAAGGCAGAGATGCTGCCTTTTCCACAGGTTTCCTCTTCATTCATATAGAGAGAAACAAATACTTGTTTGCGCCTTTGTGGATTCAATGCTACAGTACAGAGAGGAGGCCAGATGCCTCTCAAGCCTGCCAGTGCCTTCCAGTAGCCAGTCCTCAGCCCTGCCCAGTTGTGAGAAGATGAGAAGCGGGAGGGTTTCTGCGCGGCTGCATAAGCACCCATCTCCTATGGGAGAGTTCCCCCATTAGATAACTTAAATGAAATGGTATTCAGGGACTGAACCTTCTAAATGAAAACATGTCTTACCTTATTCTCCCCATTTTTCCTTCTCCATCCCTGCCCTTTTAAACAGGTAATTACAAGTTCCCAGCAGAATGTGAATACCTCTAGAAAGCGACTTCAAGAAGATCTTCATCTGCAGAGCTGTGGTGCTCTGAGCTCTCCAGTTGCCTTCTTACGTAGGTCCCATATCACGCGCAGTTTAGAGCGGGACAGGCCTCACAGTTTAATTGGAGTTTGCCGGGAGACCATCCTTTGATAATATTTGCAGGTATGTGATTCCAGCAAAGAGAATTAAGGAAGAAACCAGGACTGGGAGAAATACAAGTAGTGGATGACTTAAAAAGGAAGAAGTGTCTTCCTTTGGAATTCCACTTTTTTCCGACATCAGGAGGAGAACACCTGTTTTTCTGAATGTAAATTTCAGCCCTGATTTTTGCAAAATTTTAACTGATAAAGTCATAACAGATGTTTTCCCAACCAGAAATGCATTTATTTCATTGTACTTCTGGAAATGCTACTGATGCTGCCTAGCATTTCTTGAAAACCAGTGCAAAACTGCCAGAGACTGGCTGTACAACTTCGAAGTTGTATTTATTTAATGTACCTCAAAGTGTTTTAACTATGATCAGTGTTTTAATAAAAAGTATTTCTGGACTTTGCTTTTTCAACTACTGATTTGGATGGAAATGTAAAGGTGATTCATATGCACATGTAGTGCTGCTTCTAATCCATTTTTCCAGTGTCTTTCATGCCAGGCTAATGGATCTGTCCTATTAAAGCTGCCCCCCTGCCCCGCCCCCCCATTATGTTGCCCTTTTAAATTATAGTAAAGGCTGCAGTGTGGTTTATTTTTGCTTTGTTCTGAATGCTCATGAGTTTATTAATGGAGTAGCATATGCTATTGAAAACTGACGTTTAAGTACTCTGCGAATTGCAACCAAAAGATGCGTTAGGGAAGAAGTCTTTGAAATTCTGCATTTCCAAAAAGCAGATTTTGACAAACGTTTTACAAATGCCAACTGCTAGGAAGTTAGATGAATTTTCATCTAGCAGAGCCTTGAACATTTTTTCAAAACGAATTGTTACTCCAATTAGTAGTTTTGACAATTATATTACTAAAATACGTCCTTGTGGTTCTGCTGCATTTATGATCTATTTAACATTGATCTTAACGAAAAAATAATAATCAAAAAGTAAATATCATTGACACTAATTTGATTACCAGCATAAACACAGGTCTGCCAGCAACGTCTTCCAGTGCAAGCTTCATCCTGGCTCTCTCAGAGGAAATTGGAAAGGCCTTAAACCAAAGGTTCTCATCAAGAACCTACCACAGGTTGATGTTTCAGGGTTTTAATTTTTTTGCAGCAGTGCTTGTCAGAAGCGTTAGTTTCCATTTGAGGTTTAATCATATAGTGGTTTCATTTGTGTCACTCTGAGCTGGGCAGACATCCTGTGAAAAGGTCACAAAGGAACGTAGCTGAAGATGGGTAGTTTAAGTTTTACAGAATCATCCATTTTAATGTATTTTAATTATAGCATGCTTATGTATTGTTGTGAAGTCACAGTGACATCCAGTGGCAACAGGGTATGCTAATTGAAAGCATCTACTCTCAAGATAATATCGATATACAACTTCCTAATTCAAGAGATTAATTCCTTCAAAAAAAAAAACCTCTGTGACCTTTGCAACTGCACTTAGATGAAGAATTAAATGATCTTCTACTTGGATTTTTTTATTACGTAAACTTACACAACAAACAAAATAAGCAAGCTTCCTTTATTATTTCAGATTTATTAGTGATAGTAGGTTAATTCTTTCCTAAGGTCAGTTGCATGCAACACACTACTCCTTGAAGTACAGTCACCTAAAGCTCTTTAGTTACTTCATGGTAAGGCTTCTTAAGTCACAGTGTATTTTCTTCAAGGCCTTGGCCAAAAAAAATATCTAGACGAAAAGTTACACCAGTGAACATTTATCTCATAAGGAATACAACTTTACTACTAGGTTTTTTATCTACACACATTCTAATACTGCTGATGGTGCTAGGTTATTTGTCAAAACAATTTACATTCAGAACACATTGCCTTAGAAATAAGAATACTTTATAAAAGACAGAAACAGGTAAGCATGGCTTTCCCATTTTGAGCTAGTATAAACAAAAAGGTAATATGCAAAAATTAAAGAAAAAAAAAAAACCCCAGCCCAACACATACATTACACAACCTGTGCAATAAGTTATCCATGAAATAACTCTGTTAAATGATAAAAATCACAAGCATTAAAAATAAATATGTATCTAAATAAATACTTTGATTTTAACCTTGTGGCAATTATTCTTTATTTAGCATATGAAACACTTGTTACATGTTTATGTTCACACCTTGCCAAACAGGTTACACTTGTCATAACAATACCAAGTACTACAGTGGTTTTCTTTACATTAGAATCTAAAAGTTTTAACTGCACACATTCCTTTCCACTGAAATACCATCTATTCGGCACCAGTTTTAAAATTATGCAAAGCCATCAGTATTGGGCCTCTCTATGGGACTGGGATTTTTTTTTTTAAATTTGAGGCAGCCGTAACTTTCTCTAATTGCTTCTCTCTGCCATTTCCTGCAGTCTCATTCATCAAATATTCACATTCACCATGTTATCAAACAAAGACATACATACATCACTCCACATAAAGGTTACAAATAAATATGTTTTAAGTTTTATGAGAAAAGAGTTTAGAAGATGTTGCAAAATACTTAAATGTTTTACAAAGGTTTTTGTCAGTGATTATTGTCCTTGACCATTCTCCTCATCACTTTTTGGCAAAGAAATAAAAAGGAAGGAGAGAAAAGGCAGAGACACCTGTCTGTTCCTTGTTTCGGAGTCCTCAGGTCAGCTTCAAAGCCTTTCATTCGTACAAAATACAAAAGTCTCTTCAGCTATGAGGGCTTCAGCTTTGATGGAACCATTTAGTTATTTTGCCGCAAGAGTTGCATGCTAGATGTAAACGGGGGTCTCTTGTCCTGTTAGGAGCCTGAACATGGCAGCTGGCATAGTCTTCATGTGAATCTGTCAATTGATTTACACAGAAATTAACAGAACTGTTACTGGTGTAAAATAGTCCATAAGGCCCAATCTGTCTTTCCCTGTGGTGTAAGTGCATCTATGTCTTGTCCTGGTTTCTACAGGTGTGAATGTTACCAAAGTTTCTAGTTCAAAGTTCTCCGGTTCTAACAGGCTGGTTTGCTGTCTTTGCTTTTTTTGTGTGTGTATTTTGTTTTTTAAAATGATGACAAGATGCAACATCATATAGCTGAAAGACACCTAAATACTTTTTATTGTTATACACTATACCAGTTGCAGCCGTTAAAAAAGAAGCAGCAGAAACCTCTCTGAAAATACATTCTGCTGTTCTGGTATTAACTGAACTTAGATTATTTTTTTTTTTTTATTCTGTCTACCTTCCCTGTGGGACTGTCATTTTGTACCCATTTTCTCTTTATTGGAGTATGGTTCTCTGAAAACAAAACTTGGACTTTATCACCTGATGTTTAAATGGCGGTCAAGAGTTTGGGGGAACAGGTTCTCTCATGGCTAGTGTATTTAAGGTCTTTCTATAAGGAGCACTTTGATATATGTCAGAAGAATTGTACAGACTAATGGGATTAAAGGCATCAGGTAATCAGAGCTGCATTGGAAATGTAGTAACAGCTCTAAGTACCTATCGGACAATGCAAGAGGAAGGAAGGTAGCTTTCCAAGCTGATAATACAGACCCTCACCAGCCGTACCCTGCCTTGATTTCTTGGTCTCTTCATGCTGAAAAAAAAGTTTCCTACTGTCCTCACGTGTTTAGTGAGGCATGGAGGCTCTACTGAAATCTACACCTTTGTTCCTGCCAACATGCATGTGCTCTGTGTCATTTTTCAAGTGTCATTTTCCACAGGAAAACAAGTAACCTTTGATTTTCGGCAAAGGAACTAGTGGAAGATGTGGCCAGGGCTGTGTAAGATACTACCATCAAATTCAGTAGGGGTTTTGATAAACTGGAGGATCGTGTTCATTTGTTGCTGATTTCTCTAAAAGTGCTGGAGGGAGATGTCTTAGCTTACACCTAAGGTAAGTTGGAAATGTTCAGTGGTAGTGAAATTACTAAAATACATATCAATTTGCATCTCTCATCTCTCTGAATATTAATTTATTTCTATAGCAGATGCTGTAGAGATAAGCCAAGACGTTTTCATAGCTAACATGCTTGTGTGATTTCTTCTCTGAATTGATGGGTTCAATTTGAATGGTAGGTCGAAGAATCATGCCAGGAACTATTGAAAAAGAGTGGAAAAATGCTGTGAATGTGCATCTAATTGTTCAAAAAATGTTCTGTTAATTGTTTGTTATTACTGCTCAACTCTGATTTACTGAGGTGGTAGTTTTAATACTGTGTTAAGACACTCTCTTCAACTGGAAAATATATTCTTTCAACAGTTTTAATTCCTTGATAAAGTATTTAATTATTTTCTTACCTCTCCCACTGAATTAGACAATGCTTGTACTATCTTCTCATGAGCAGTAGCAACAACACTTTGTCCGTTGATCTCAATGATACGATGTCCTACTCTTACCCCTCCCCTCTCAGCTATTCCGCCTCGCATCAAGCTGCAAATCTGCAAGAGAAAGCAAAGTTTATTAAAGTTTAGAAATGTGATAATGTAGCAGTTACTACGATTTAATACATCGTAATGAGCGGTGACACTGCAAGGGTTCCGGAAGATACTTGCAGAAAGTATTAGGCAATATTGTGAGTTTTTAAATGTTGCTTTGTGGGATTTTATTTTTTTTCCCCCCCAAAAAAATCTGCAAATCACAATTTTTGTTTTCATTCTCACAGGCTGGGAATATATAAACAGCTAACACATCGATATAGGTAGCAGCCACGCAAAAGAGTGGAGTTAGGGGAAAAGGGCACTCTGCTCTCTGGAGTCACTGCTTTTCTCACTGGTTTACAGAACTGGAGCTTAGGATGAAGGGGCAAGTCAGGCCACTGTTTCAGCTGCAGGTACCAGTAAAGAACCAGGCACAAGTTTTGACTTTTATGCCCCCTACAATAGGGGAATAATTCTACAAGAAGAGTTACGTTTGCCAGGAATAGTCCCAGCAGACACTGCTACTTAAAATCTGAGGTTGCAACTTGCATGATGTACAGGGAGAAAGAAAAATCTCAATCCAGTATGGGAAATCTAAAAGAATGTTCCTCCT